CGGGTGCGGAGGGAGGCCCCGCCCGCCCCTCCGATCTTCCTGCAGCAGCGCGGCGTGGGGTTCCCGGGGGAGGGAGGGCGACCTCCGCCTCAGTCTTTGTTTAGATGACCAGGGGGAACCCCAGCTCGGAGGAGGCAGCACCCCTCCCCCTCCCTCCCCACCCGTTCCGCTGCCAGGGCACCGCTGGGCAAGGCCCTGGGGGGTCAGGAAGAACCGGGTGCTCTGGGGCCTGGGGCCTGTCACCCGTCTCAGAGCCCGAGGTTCCCTGGGGGACTCCTGCGGGAGTGACCACCCTCCCCCACCGTGTGGCAAGGTCATTGCTCCCCTCAGTTCACCTCCACCTTCTGGGAGACCCCTGTCTTCCTCAGGCTCACTCTGGTCTGGCCCAGGGCGTGGTTCCCACCAAGTCCCTGGGTCAAGCCTCCTGCAGGCAGAATGGAAATCATGACCTGGAAACATCTCCGTGGGCAAGACAACTCCACAGGAGGGCTCCTGGGCCCGGTTCTATTCAGGCTCTGCCTGTGACCTTGGGCCGGGCTCTGCCCCTCCCAGATTCCAGCCCTTTGGTGTAGATTGAAGGGATTAGACCGGGTCGTCTGGGGGGTCCCGATGGCAGTGGGGTGGGAGGTCAAGAGCATTCTGCAGTGCCCCCCTGACCCCCTCTACCTGGGCTGGTTTGTGGTGAAGCCACGGCAGCTGCTCTGAGTAATCCGATCACCAGTGCTGACTGAGGAAGCTGCTAGGTTTGGGGCCTCAGTTGGGGTGCACGTTCCTGCTGGAGGTGCAGAACATAAACTATAGGACGCAGCAAGCTGGGGTTCTCCTTACAGCTCTGGGGGCTCACCTTGGGGATAGATGGCCTTGCCTCTCCATTTCCTCTGTTGTAAAAGGGAGCGGGTCAGTGGGGACAGAGTGAACTCCAATATCCAAAACATCCAGGAGACTGTGTGTGTGTATATACAAGTGTGGAGCCAGCCCTTGAGGACACAGGCTGGTTCTACAGTTTCCTGGCTGTGTGGTGCCCAGTAAGTGACTGGGCCTTTCTGAGCCTCCATGGCACACTGGGTGGAACGGGGGATGATGCCGACCTCAGAGGGCTCCCCTAAGGATGATCCATGGCACACTGGGTGAAACTGGGATGATGCCGACCTCAGAGGGCTCCCCTAAGGATGAAATGATGGAACATAAAATGCTCAGTATAGTGCCAGGCACAAGGTTGAAATGTTCAGTAAACAGTCATCTTTATTATTTTTAAAAAAATGTCTTTATTGATTGATTGGAGAGAGATTTGTTGTCACTTGTTTATGCATTCATTGGTTGCCCTGACCAGACCCGCGACCTTGGTGTAGCGGGATTGCCCTCATTATTGAGCATGAAACTGTTATCATTGCATTAGAGATTCTGTCAGGCTTTCCTCACTTCTACCCTTTTCAATAACTTCAGGCCTAGTCATTGAACAAAGCAAATTACTGATGTTGTAGCGACAGAATCCATGAGGTGCAGCCTGTTCTGAACGCCTCAGAGGAATCCAGGCCCCAGGAGGGTGCGTGAAGCTGCCTAACAAGAGCTTTGAAACCATGACTCATCTGTCCACGTGTGGGATGGCGTCTGCCATGGCCTTGACCTAATGCAGAGAATCCACTTGGCTCAGATAATCCATGAATCCAAGGAAGCGTTCAGGCGGGTTAGGTTGTAGATTTGCACCCTAAACGTGGAGACAGTAGATGATGGGGAAATGTGGTTGTAAGGACACCCCGCTTCCGGGGGCTGCTGCTGCTGCAAATAAAGGTGCTCAGGGGAGAGGCAGGTAGAGGGGCCCTGGCCCCTTGTGGAGGATCAGTCAGGCCTGGCAATGCGGGGTCCCCCAGGAATGATGGAAGGGCAAGCTCTCAGCCCCTCCTGCTGCGGGCTCCTCACCCCTGCGAGGGGGGCATGGTGTTTGGGGACAGGCTGGAGGGCAGGGTTTTTAACAGAGGGAAGCAGAGTGCGACCCCGGGTCAAGCTGTTGGCTGGGGTGGGGGGGCCCCTCAGACGTGCCCTCCAGCCTTGCTCCTGATGACCTGAAAGATGCTGCCCAGCTCACTGCCTCCTCTGTACTTGCCTTTTCCCATCTGTGAAACGGGCAGGTTGGCCTGTATGTCAGCTGGAGAGGAGACGCTGCCTTTCTGAAGATCTCTCAGAACCTCCTTTCCTCATGGGGGAACTCGGGCTAATTTACCGCCTGTTGGGACAGTTGCAGGAAACAGTGGACCCACGCTGGCTAGTTTAAGCAGAAAAGGGGCTTCGTTAAAAGAGGGTGCAGCTCTCGGGACCTCAGGAGTCACACCCAACACTGCAGCCTTGGTCTGGTGTCAAAACTACTGCCACCCCCAGGCACAGATGCTGCAGCCGCCGCAGCCGCCCCTGGGCAAGGACACAGGGGCACCGCCATCAGCCCACGGCTGCCTCCGGAGCCGGAGGGGGCGTGGCTGCCACCGCTGCCACCTCACCACAGTGGATTCCATGTGGCTTTGTGTCACCAGTTTCCAATTCACAGTCAAAAATGGGCGTGTCTGCATTGGAGACAACTTGGGTGGATCTTGAGAATATTATGCTCAGTGAACTCAATCAGACGGGAAAGGGCAAGAACCCTATGATCTCACTGCTAGGCGGGCGCTAACACAAAAACAACACATGAGCAAACAAAAAACAAACTCATAGACACAGACCACAGAGTGGTGAAGACCTGAGGGGGGAGGGAGGGAGGGGAAGGTAAAGGGGGTCACACATATGGTGACAGAAGGAGGCTAGGCTTTGGGTGGGGAGCACACAGTTGAGTATATAGATGTTGTCCTGGAAAGTCGTACACCTGAAATTTATGTTATTAACCAGTGTTACCCCAATAAATTTAATTTTTTAAAAAAAGAATGGGTGTGTCTGATTAGAGATCAGGTACTCTGCCAAAGCTGCAAGGGAGGCAGGCCAAAGGTGTTCTCAGCTCCTCTGGCAGGAGGCGGGCTCTGCCCTGGGAAGGGCCTATCAGATGCTGGTGGCCAAGAGAGTGACCAGCACCCACCCCAGAAAGCAATGGACTTGTGAAACTGCTATGAGATTTCACACAGGGGCGCTCAACTCGGGGCCTGGCGCGGAGGGAACACATGACCACTGGTCGCCGAGGTTCATGCCGCACCACGAATCCAGCGTCAGCCGGCTGTGCTGCTTCATACTTCAATCTGTTTTGTTTTGTTGTTTTTTTTCAGCAGGTGAAAGACAAAAGGACCTTGAGAACAGTATGGCAGGCTGCCCGTCCAGATGCAGAGGGCTCCCATCCCAGCGCCGGGAGGACAGGTGACTGGGTTTTTCCATCGGGCTGATGAATTGGCTGAGTCACCCTCCCTCTCCAGTCCCCTCGTGACCACGTGACCACGACTGAGAGCAAATAAAAGAGGGATCGCAGGTGGGGTCGAGGCGCAGAAGAGCCTGGAGCCCTGGAAGCTTCCTCTCCTAGCAGGGGAGGGGAGGGGAGGAGAGGGCAGGCACTGTCCCCCTCCCCAGTAACACTCCCCACTCACTAAGCATGAGTCACAGGGCCCCAGGGAGAGAAGAGTGGATCCTCTGGGGTGTCCCGCCCTGCTGTGCTGTGGGGTGCCCTGGAGAACTGCAGCTGACCAGGGCATGACCTTGGGTTTATGCCTGGATGAAGGAAACCAGCTTAGAGTCCATAATGCAGGTGTGGGGCAGGCTCTGCTAACACGTGTGATTGAGGTTCTGGGGGGGAAGGGGAGGTGGGTGTGTGTGAGCAAGGGCCTCCTGGAGGAAGAGCTCGCAGAGAGGGGTGGAAGGTCAATAAAGTCAGTAGATGGAGATGGGAAAGGGATGACTGGGGGAGAGTACCATCCGTCCGTCCATCCATCCATAATGCACTGGGTCAGCCAGACCCTGTGCTGAGCTCAGGGAGGCGCAGAGCTGAGCTGCTGCAGCCCCGTCAGGGGCTCCCAGAAGGAGGTGGAGCCGGGAGGTGGAGCAGATGGTGAGGAAGCTGGAATGAGGGAGTGGGCAGGGCGGAGTGCCTGGCCTCAGCCTGGCTCTGGAAACTCACCAGCCACCAGGTCATCTGCCCCTGGGCCATTTGCAGGTTATGTCCCCACCCCCTTTCTCCCAGAACAGGGCCGGCTCTTTGTGCTCCAGTAACTCCAGACCCTTCACCCTCTCCTCCCCCATCTCAGAGGACAGCAGAAGCACTTCCAGTTCCCTTTGGAAAAGCTCCCTTACACCTGGCCTGCCTGGCTGGTGTGGCTCAGTGCTTGAGCATCGACCCAGGCACCGAGAGGTCACCAGTTTGATTCCTGGTCAGGGCATGTGCCCGGCCAGCCAATCAATGTTGATGTTTCTCTCTCTCTCTCTCTCTCTCTCTCTTTCTTTCTCCCTCTCCCCCTCTCCCTTCCTCTTTCTAAAATCCATAAAAACCTATAAAAACCATATTTTAAAAAATGAAAAAGCCCCTTCGCTTGTCCTGGGAGCTTTACACGGAGCCCCAGTTTACACCGAGCCAAGGCAACTGGTGGATCTGACAATATTTTTTAAAAACCCCTATAGTCATATATGCTCAATGCAGAAAAATCATAAGATGCAGAGGGAAAAACAAAAACCTCTCCTAATTCCGTAACATAAAAACAACCAGTGTTAACATAGTAACACTGGGGGGCTGTGTCCTTCAGCCATATATGTACGTGTGTGTGTTTTCCCCAGAGGGATCGTCCCCAGAGGGATCGTACTGCACGTACTCACCTCCTCCTGACCACTGCGGCCCAAGGGGCCCATGAAGTCCTGGGGTGGGGCTGAGGGTGGCCCTCTGTTCTCAGGCCAAATGGAGAGGGAACAAGGCCAGGAGCACGGGAGGCCGGCTTGCCTTCCCAGGCAGGACTTGCAGCCAGCTCGGGGCTTTCCCCAGGGGCTGCCCTCGCAGACTCTCCGTGGGCAATGCTGACGCTCTTCCTGGGCTGCAGAGAGACGATGACCTCCACAGGCACACCCCGCTTGGGGGTGGGGTGGGGGTGGAGGCTATTTTTAGCCACTCCAGCCCCTGGAGCCTTTGATTCCCAAGTCTGAGCGAGGCCATCCTGTTCCAAGTCACATAGCACCACGGAGGCGGGAAGCGGGGCGGCATCCAGGCTACGGTTCCAAATCCCAGCTGTGCACAGACCAGCCGTGGGAGACCCTCAATCTGCCACGTGACCTGCCTGATCCTTGGTTTTCCCATCTGTAAAATGGGGATGACACCACCAACAACTTCTCCAAAAGCACGTGGAGCTGAAATGGCAACAAAGACCCAGTCAGTAGCTTGATGTTGTTAGAAGGGAAGTCCAGCCCCAA